ACCTTTAGGAACCTCAAACCATAATATGATTTTATTGAGTCTCTGTGCAACAAAAAATCGAATAAACAATTATATTTCGAATTTCAATAAATTTTGTCTAGCGTTTACATAAATTTTACAGTTGAATAGCCAAAATGACATGTTTCAGTATTTTAAATGTGATTAATCGCGATTAATATTTTTTAAAAGTGCGATTAAGTAGTTACATTTTTTTTATTGAATGACAGCACTAGTTAGAATCCTTGTGAAATACAGCCATACTTTAGAACGCTTAGTTTAAGCAAATTTGATGAACGCTGCGATCATGAGTGTTGAATCTGAAGGGAGTCGCTTTGCCTGCCCTGTCCTGCACGCGGTGTGCGTTTCTGTGCGCACACACGCGTGTTTCTTAGCAACAAACCTGCATAATTGTCTGTATCAACTAAATCAAAAAGTTTGGGTTGCATTGCACTTTCAGCTCACAACATGCAAAAGAAAAGGTCCACATTCTCCCCCGATAATGTCACCATACTGGATTGTTTTAGCAAATGTCTGAATGTAAATTAGGACTAAGCAAAATTGTTTCTACTTTAACATTCTCAACTCACAGCAATACAACTTTACAATGAGTGCAATTGTTTGTATTCAATACTTTGTTATTATAGTTTTCCATATCTGTAATGCCTGTATTTTGGCTTTTTATTTCAGTACACTTAGAATCCAACTTGGAAATCATTTTTTTTCTTTATTGGCATTGATTGTTTTGAAATTCAAATGTCATTAACATGCCTGTGTTTTTATTTCTGTAATAAGTATGGCTGTCAAGCCAGGATCTTGATGGTTTATTGTGGGTATGTTGTTTACATGAAGAAATCTGTTACAAGTTGAACAAAAATTCTAATAAACAATTATATTTTGAATTGAAATAGTTTTTGTCTTGCGTTTACATAAATTTTACATTTGAATAGCCAAAATTACAAATTTCAGTCTTTTAATGTGATTAAAAAGTGTGATTGATTAGTTAGTTTATTTAATCGATAGACAGCACTAGTATATTTATATTTATATATATAAGCAATATCACACTCGTAGCATGGCGATATGGCTGTATATCGGCACTGGGGGGAGGTGTGCGATGGCACGAGGCCGCAGGCCACATATATACAATGTGGACCTTTTCTTTTGTATGTTGTGAGCTGAAAGTGCAATGCAACGCAATCTTTTTGATTTAGTTGCTACAGACGTTTATGCAGGTTTGTTGCTAAGAAACACATGCGTGTGTGCGCACAGACACACAGACAGACGCATACACCGCGTGCAGGACAGGGCAGGCAAAGCGACTCCCTTCAGATTCAACACGCATGATCGCAGCGTTCATCAAATTTGCTTAAACTAAGCGTTCTAAAGTATGGCTGTATTTCACAAGGATTCTAACTAGTGCTGTCAATCAATAAAAAAATGTAACTAATTAATCGCACTTTAAAAAAATAATAATCGCGATTAATCACATTTAAAATACTGATACTCTGTCCTTGACAGAGACAGAATTGACATTGCACCAGTAATAAATATGGCATGTGACGTTTCTGTAATAAATATGGCTGTCAAGCCATGATCTTGATGGTTTATTGTGGGTATGTTCTTTACATGAAGAAATCTGTCACAAGTTAAACAAAAGTTCTATTAAACAATTATATTTTGAATTTAAATATTTTTTTGTCTTGCGTTTACATTAATTTTATATTTGAATGGCCAAAATTACAAGTTTCAGTTATTTAAATGCGATTAATCGTGATTACATTTTAAAAAAGTGTGATTAATTAGTTAATTTTTTTAATCGATTGACAGCACTAATATATATATATATATATATATATATATATATATATATATATATATATGTATATGTATGTGTGTGTGTGTGTAGGCACTGTTTACATTTAATTCAAAGGTCAAGCTCAATGCCTACACTTTGCGTTTACATAGTAGCCTGAGTTTGCTGTTATATCAACTCAAATGGTTGTAATAATGGTAATAAAGGTGAGGTTTTATAAAATGAAGATTCAGTTGCGCCAGCTTCGGGCCGCAGCGCACATAATCACAGGCCAATTCTGGCTCGGATACGGCAGCGTCGGCTCGCTAACGGCCACCGCATCTGGACCCGATTGACTCGGGCAGCAAAGTAGACTACTGTCAGAGTCGAGGTAAGTCTCTGGCAGGCGACAATCTAGCCGGAACTGGCCCGAGTGTATTTTGCTATCTGGTTAGGCGTGTATCAGTAAACAATAAACGATGAAATTCCCATCATTAAATTACTGCTAAAAACAAACTCTTTACAAAATTAAAGATCTGCACCTATATCAGCACGATAATCAGTGCTTTAATTGATCAAAACCATCTTTCGGGACTACTCTGGATTATTTGGGCTAAAGTCTCATTTATTAACACGGAAGAGGCAGCCAGCCCACAGGGTGGGATCTAACGACCGGGATCTTTACTCAAACGCAGGCTTGTGGTACTTTTGCATTTAACACACACGATAATGTGTGTGTGCAGGCTGGCAATGGCGTGATGTGTGATTGTCCAACTGTGTGATGTGGACTATTGCTGTGTTTGTAGATTGTCTGGCTGTATGGTGACAGAGGAAGGCTGTGGTTTTCTGTCTTCAGCTCTGACTTCAAACCCCTCACACCTGAGAGAGCTGGATCTGAGCTACAATCATCCAGGAGATTCAGGAGTCAAGCTGCTCTCTGAACAACTGGAGGATCCAAACTACACACTGGACAAACTCAAGTATGTGGAGCATCACTGGCCTTGTGCTTTTACATTGAATGGCTTTAAAAAGACACTAGAAAGCTCTTTTGTGATCAGCTTCAGTTTTCTGTGAGGGTTATGGGGTGAGGACAGACAGAAGATAAAGCTTGTAGAGTATTCCAGTCATGTCTATGAAGAGCAAATCATTGAGTGTGAAATGAATCTCCTCTGTAAATGTTGGGTTGTATTGGCTCAGTTACAGTGACATTAAGCGGGACACACTGTACAGTTTCAGCATTTGAGCTGAGCAGAGAAACTTCTTCCTCCATTTCTGCTGAAGAATCCTACAATATCAGGTCAGGAATAGGGTTGGGGATTGAAGATGGATTCAGATTCTGGAATCAGACACTTGGATTAATGTTCAGACTCTTGTTCTAAAATCAACATCTGGATTCCTCTTCTCTGTGCACACGTGTATTTTTCACTTGCTAATCTGTCAGGAACTTGGGCGCTGGCGAGCAGCTTTAATAATCTGAACATAGTTTAGAGATGGACTGCAACATGTGCTCAAAGGCTGCATGTGCTGAATAACGATGGCAAAGCTAAGTGTGATCACTGTCTAGGGGTTTAACCCACGTTTTAAGATTGATCAGGAATTAATTAGCTCATTTCAATGAACCGGATCCTAAAGATTCGAATCATTGATTCGACTCAATTGAGTCAGACTGAATCAGATTAAAAGATTCACACTTTATCTACAATTTGTCCCGCAAACAGAAGACGTATCTTACCAATCTTGTTAATATTATTTACGTGGCCAACGATAATAACATAACACAGTATTGGGTTAACTTTTAGCAAGGTAACAAGATCTACAGCTCGAGGCAATGACTTAGAAGCACATAAACAAGAACACAGTTCTTACAAAATGAGAACAAAGATTTATTGAGCTACACTACGATACATGAAACTAACTATGTAATAAACAAACAACAAACAAACACACACACACACACACACACACACACACAAAGGCAGTTCATGCTCATGAATGGCTGTTGTCCTGGGTCACCACCGAGTGACAGACTGCTGAAAGTCAGTTTGTGGAAGTTCGTGCAGCTTCGGCGATCCTAAAACTTAAAAGAAGTTTGTGGTGACCCAATCGGGCAGGTGAGAGGGGGCAGAGAGCAAAAGCATGCGCAAGCCAGCTAATGCAAAAAGCAAAGTTTCTTTGTTGCAGGGAGTTTAAAGTGACCTGGTTCGGTCTGCCCCTATGGCACTGTCTGCCAATGAGCAGTTGCAACGAAGGGCGGGGCCACGCCCCATACTGACATAGGAAGGTTCAATCATTAACAGACTGCATATTGATTTCATATGGAAGAACTCTTGCAAGATTGAAATGATCTTACATCAAATGTTACAAGATGAATACTGTTTGTACTACTAGTTTTTCATTTACACCAAAAGATTGCAAATGTTACTAGCTTTCATTCAATACCAGACATACATTTTAGACACATACAGATCATTTTAATCTGCTTTAAGGGTTAAAACAACACATTGTTTAACCTGGTTGGTTGGAATAAACAGCATATGAGGAGCATTATGGCATATTATTCAAAGATACATCTGCCTTAGTTCTAACATTTTAAGAGATTGTCTTGCATTCACATGCATTCATTTCTCTTTGTCTCTACAAAATTGTCATCTGGCAGGATGTACCACATTACTAACGCATGACTGGGAGTCATTCAAAAGTCTCGTGAGGCGGTTTACGCTGAAAATCCTTTAAAGCCCCTTTGTTCAATTTAAATCGTTTACTAATTTCGCTGAAGGGTACTTGGAACAACTGTGGCCGAAGTGCTGGTCAGAGTAGCCCAAAATCAATTAGTGCTTTGTTATCATGATGGTTTAAGCCCTCAAGCTGGTTCAATGACTACAGACAATTTGGCTACCAGTTTCCGAGCCTTATTCGAACTGGTTTTGAGATCTGCAACATCCTTTGCATAGAATTCCAACAACTGTAATAAATGAATATTGCAGCAGGGTGTCTCCATCAACATGAGCAGTATCTGCGCTCGCTTCACCAACAGCAGAGGAAAAGAACGCACTGTGTTACATTCATTGTGCATCCTGGCTGAACCAACAAGTGTTGTGTGTTTTAGCTCAAGAGTTTGGAGCGTGTAGCTGAGCAGCTCAGTGCTAGCTTTAGCCTATTAGCTGAGGGGGAAACTAAACAGCTCATTCTCTCCATCTGTGTGTGTTTACAGTCTGGATCATGGAGGACACACGAGGATTACAGCAGGACCACGCAAATGTAGGACTACACACACACATACACACACACAAACACACTCTCTCTCTCTCTCTCTCAATCACACACACACACACACACACTCTCTCTCTTTCACCCACACACACACTCTGTCTCTCTCAATCACACACACACACACACTCTCTCTCTCACACACACACACACACACTTTCTTTCTCCCACACACAAACACACATACACTCTCTCTCTATCTCTCTCTCTCACACACACACACACACACACACACACAGAGCTGTGGTTATACATGTGTGTGTTCTTGTGTTCAGATGCCTGTTTCCTCACTCTGGATCCAAACACAACATACGCTTTTCTCATTCTGTCTGAGGAGAACAGAGAGGTGAAGCGTGTGAGAGAGTATCAGCGGTATCCTGATCATCCAGACAGATTTGATGGTATTTATTCTCAGGTGTTGTGCAGAGAGAGTGTGTGTGGACGCTGTTATTGGGAGATTGACTGGAGTGGAGATGATGTGTGGATATCAGTGTCATATAAGAGCATCAGGAGGAAGGGAGTAGATCCTGAGTATTTGTTCGGATGTAATGCTCAGTCCTGGAGTTTGCGCTGCTATTCCTCCAGTTATATATTTTGGCAAAATGACACACGCACTGATCTCCCAGTGAAACCGCTCAGCAGGAGAATAGGAGTGTTTGTGGATCACAGTGCAGGAACTCTGATCTTCTACAACATCTATAGAGACACAATGAGCCTCATCCACTCAGTCCAGACCACATTCACTGAGCCGCTCTATCCTGGGTTTACTATTTGGTGTCAATCATCAGTCAAACTGTGCTGAAGACTGAGAAGGAGCAGTCAGTAGCAGTGTGTGTGTGTGTGTGTGAGAGAGAGAGAGAGTGTTTGTTTGTGTATGTGTGAAAGAGCATGTGTGTGCGAGTGTGTGTGTGTGTTTGAGTGTGTGCATGAGTGTATGTTTGTCTGTGTGGGATTTTTTTTTCTACAAAAATACTTTCTTACATCATTTTTTTTTGACACATTGTAACTCCACATCAGATGTAACAGCAGCTCTCCTACCTCCACACTGCAGACAGCGTCCTTATAACAGCACTGTTGTTCAAAGGTTTCAGCATCATTTATGGCCTTGTAATACTTTAAATATATTTTAATTCTGGACCTGACGAACGCTTTAAAACTCCCAATCTCTTGACCATGTACATCAGGGGTGTCAAACTCAATTCCTGGAGGGCCGAAGCCCTGTACAGTTTAGTTCCAACCCTGCTCCAACACACTTACCTGTAGATTTCAAACAAGCCTGAAGGACTAAATTAGTTTGATCAGGTGTGTTTAATTAGGGTTGGAACTAAACTGTGCAGAGCTGCGGCCCTTTTGCAACTGAGTTTGACACCTGTGATGCACATCATCTATTTAGTTTCTTCTTGTGATAAGTAGAGCAAGTTTTGCTTGAGCAACTAAACAGTGAATGAACTGCTATTTCAGTTTGTGTTTCTGACTATAGCCAGCTCCAGAAGAAACTTACATTGAGTCAAATTCTCTCCACATTTCAGGAAAACTCTGCTCAACATATCAAACTATTGTGTTAAACGTGTACAGTCTCTCTATGTCCACAGAAGAGACACTCGTCATGGACACTAGAGTGAACAACACGTATGAAATCATTCACTGCCACAATCCCCTGCAGAATCCTCCATTGTAAATCCCCAACACATTTTGTCAAAGTTGGTTTATACAAAACTCTCCACACTGGTTTTCCCCCTAAAGTATCATGAAATGTCAGTTATTTCTGTTAATCTGCCTTTGTCACCTCTCTGATCCGTAATAATAATAATAATAATCATAATATTAGACATTTGTTTGGACATGATGTGCTCTCTTCAACAAGCAGCTTTTCTCTTCATTCTGCAGGCTGTTCGCTCTGGCAGTTGGTCAGATATTTGTAAGCAAGCCTATAATAAAAAGCAGAGTTATTCTGCAGTCAGGTGATGTGCTCCATCAGGCACAACAATCTTGATAGTATCTTGTAGTGTGCTGTGCCGCAGTTTTCATATCTTGTAGTAACATATTTTTAAAAGTGTACTGATTATATTTTTAAATATAGCCTACATAATTAGGCACAATTTAAACTTTCAAAACATAATGTTTTTCCCACCTCGGGCATTAAAGCCTTTATATTATTTTCTCTTTTATTCTTAATTGGGCAGCCATTATTCTCAACCCTGTAATAGACTAAACTGAGTTGGTAATAATAGTATTTTACAAAGCTTTTGCTATAAAACCAACATTTCCCTGTTGCTCACATGTCCCTCAAATCAGTTTAATGGCTAAAATATCACATTTTTAATAAGTTTTAGATTCATATGTGATTTAAGTTACAATTATACATACTTGTGCATTCTGTGGTCTCTTAATTTTTTAAAAAGTTTTACATTTAGATGTCTTACCCCACCCACACAATTACAATGTTAGGCCTTAACATGCTGGTTGGTTCTCAGCAATATTTTTTTTTCTATATTTAATTGTTTTCCTTTAAAAATATGAATCTCACAGGGTGGAGAATACAGTGACGGGTTTAAGACCATAACAGGGTTAAGAGGACACTTAAATTTCAGTTTTAATTTGTTTTAGTTCATTTGAAATTACATCTAACACTTACTTAAAATTTATTTTAGTAAAACATTTAGCAAAGGCATTAATGAGATAAAGGCAAACCGGGATGAAATGAAACTTCATTAAACCAAACCACAGTCAGAATTCAAAAAATTGAAGTGCTGCAGGTAACTGGACTGTTAAAAACCTTTAAAAATGCTGATAAAGGCCTGTGTTACCCAATCTATTGCTGAACAGAACCTACAGTAAACAGAAGCAACAGGTAAAGTCTTGTCTAAAACTTTATTTCCTGGAACATCAATAAAAACTGCAGCAGAAAAGTTCTTAATGAAATTGTTAATGAAAATACTTAATAATGTTAATAAAAAAATAAAATTATATAGCCAGATAGGCTGATCTGCTTATTTCAGAAACTGCTGATCTATTGGGATTTTCACACATAACAATCTCTAGGAGAGAAAATTATATAGTGAGCAACAGTAACTGAAATAACCACTCGTTACAACCGAGGACTGCAGAGGAGCATCTCTGAACACACAAAACTTCCAACCCTGAGGTGGATGGGCAGCAGGCACCTTTTGTTAGCCTAACCCTCTGTATCTATAATATTAATACGAGTTATGCCCTCAATGACCCCCTCTCTAAAGTTGGGTAATTGTCACATGACATAGAGATAAACAAATGAACTATTACATAATTTAAGTATTTTTTTTGTTCTGATTTTATTAGCTTTACATAAACTCATGATGAAACTCGTGACACTCAATATAAAATCTGCTGCTGGTACGGGTGCCGTGTCTGACATTAAATAGTGTCAAAGTTTAAGTAAAACACAGCTTCAAATATTCTCAGTAACAAAATTTTTTTAAATGTTTTTTAATGAATATTCTTGATTAATTAGGTGAATATACCCAAAACAATGACATGTGTAATGGGGTTGAGTTTTTAAAGCAAAATGTCCTCTGCTCCTTGTGTGGTTTAAAAGAGAATGCCCACATGGCAGCAATTAAACAAGAATATGTTATATTGTTTGGAAATAAAAAAAAAACAGTCATATTCCATCTTAGTCTTACGTTACGCGGTTGAATTGTTAAGCTTGACCGCATCCTTCCTAACTATAATAAAATCAAAAAATGTAAATAAATAAAAATATAGCTTCTTTTGCACCATGCTGAGAAAGAGAGCTAAATGATGTCACTTTCTGTCTGGATGTCATATAAGAGTAGACTCTGAATTGCTGTAGGTGGAGAATTGCTGGTGTGACAGGGTTGAGTTTATTTTGAGGGACATAACTTTGTAGCCTGTTTTTTATTTAAAAATCTTATTTTTTATTTATCACAAGTAAATAACACAAATAAATAGTTGTAATACAAAAAAAAAATTAAACACTGTGTCTACATGCAATTTCAAAGATGTGCCTCGGGGACATGACAAATAGCTTGGTTTGTGACAGACATATTATATTTTTTATGCTAAAGCTGCATTTAATGTATTTTTTTATTCATTATAATGTACAAAGTAGATCAATGAAAAATGCTTTTAACATGTAATTTAAGTCGACAACCACTATAAAAAAAATATGGGGGACTGAAATATTACAGAACGCCAGGAATGACTTAATTATATCTAAGATAATTTTGTAAAACAATATGTTTTGTTAAATGTATAATGTATAAATAGTTCCATCACATCAGCTGAGGCAAAAAGCAATAATGCAGCCATTTCTTCTTGTAGTGTTGATGTGGCTGTTTTGAAAGAATTTGTGTGAAAGGCATCAGGAACTTCTGGGAACTGCACAACTCTGTGTAATGTTTTCACACTTGCATGTGTCGATTTTATTTCTCAATCATTTTTAGATTCATTAATTTTATCAGCCTTCATTGTGATCATTTTCTCTTTATTGGTTATACCTCACAATCACAAACACTCACAACTGGTTCCATTCTTTTGAATTGTGTGGGTTATTGAGCCAGGCCTCCATTCGATTCCTGATTTTGCTCCGCGAGCAAAGGGCAGGAGTGGGCGTGTCCAGCAGGGGAGAAGGAGGGCAGTGAACAACTGTTGTCAGTTAGCTCACAGAATGAAACACGTGATTTTATAGTTTATAAAGTTAAAATGCAAAGAAATAAACAGTAATGTAATGCCCGGCTACATTTGTTATTCGTAATTTCATATACACTTAACCACAATTTATATCATTATAAAGATAATCATGTTCATATAAACTCTATAATTGAAGACTTTTCCCTTAATCCCCTTGTCTGAACCATAGGTCTGAATGCAGGCTCAGTGCAGCAGGCCTCTTGCCCTGTCTATTTCAACCATTAGCCCTGTTGGTAATCTAGAGGATTTAGGCGAACACAACAGCACGGCGATGTGTCTAAATGTGAACAAACTCCTGATAAAAGACAATGTCCGCCATTCTCCAATTCTCGTACTGCTCTTCCGTCAAAAATGCTTGCTGCACACACAGCTTTGCTGTATTGGCCCTGACAGGATCTTAGGGAAAAACATGCAACAAACACTGTGGATCATGATAACAAACACATACGAGCCTTCATAAACGGTGTGATGGTTGATGGGTCAGATGACATTAATCATGTGAGACACAAAAAAATCACTGATGTATTCTGATATTCCTATGCGTAAAAGCACAACTCTTAACGATGAAATGAAACGTAAGAGAAAGGAAAGGCGACTCCGACAGAGGGCGCGCCGTGCCAACAAATCAGCTGGACGAACTCTCTGTGAACCCCTTGCTACTTCAGATGACCCTCTTGCTAGTAGTCGAACTCTGAATGAACTCCCAACTTGTACTTTTGCTGAACTTTCTACCGAGTTCACGCACCTGAATTTAAGTGCATAACTATATAGCACATTATAAATCAAGGCTTATATTAAAATGCCTAAATGTTGATTTATATGATACAATGTACTCTTGATGACTATCTGTCTTTTTACTGTTCAAGTGATTTAGCATGCTCCTTGAATGTATGATTTAAGTAGTCTGTGCACCTGTGTTTAGGGTTGATTTATGAATACTGTCACGGAGACACTGAGTATAAAAGCTGACATGTACTCTTCAGCTTTGCGCTTCCTGACTTCTGTTCATTGAGGTTGGTTGCCCTTTGTCCGCCAACTGGGGACAAAATAAGGATTTTGTTTTCTGTTTGTCTTTTGTTTGTTCTACTTTTTCACTGGATTTTGTTTTATTAATAAAAGTGTATTTTATTACTTTTCTTCACTGGAGTGGACATTGAATTCATTTTCCAGAACCCATCAAAGTTACCCTGTGTGGTAAAGTATGATCTAATTTATTCTTTTGCAAAATACGTTCTTTAAAGACGATCCTTTAACTAAACTCTTGCTAAGAAATATAGCTAAGGGAGGATCCTGATCTTAACTTTGTTTAATTAGGGTGATTAAACAAAGGGAAATCAGCACAATGTACATCAATATTTCTCACATGTTATTGTAGCTCAGTTTGAGCTGAATACTAATAAAACACATGTTGGCTAGTACTGTGTAAAAAGTAGCTGAAATAAGCACAGATGTCAGGGCATGTCAAAACATCTCAGGGGTCCCAAAATCAACTCAGACCCCTGAGGGTTAACTACAGGTATAGTAAGAGCAGTGTGAAACATAATTACTGATAAACCATACTTCCTGTTATCTGGGGTTTAGTATCATCCAGGGTTAACATGTTCAAGCATGAAAAGCTCTAATATGAAACTGTCTGACTGTAGTTATTGTAGAGTGGAGAATCATTTACCTCAGTGTGTCCAGTTTACAGTGTTGACTCTTCAGTCCATCAGAGAGAAGCTTCACTCCTGAATCCTGCAGGTCATTGTTACTCAGGTCCAGCTCTCTCAGGACACAGTTTGAGGACTGTAGAGCTGAAGACAAACTCTCACAACACTGAACAGTGAGAATACATGTGGCCAATCTGAGAACGTAGAACACACATTACTAAAAACCACACTGTTAATGTGATCTGTCTGATGTAACAAAGCAAAAAATCAATCAATCAATCAGGTGTTTAAACTCAGACCTCAGTGTCTCCAGTTTACAGTGTTGACTCTTCAGTCCATCAGAGAGCTTCTTCACTCCTGAATCCTGCAGGTCATTGTTACTCAGGTCCAGCTCTCTCAGCACACAGTTTGAGGATTGTAGAGCTGAAGACAAACTCTTACAAGAATCGGCAGTGAGTTTACATGTCATCAGTCTGAGAAAGAGCACACATTACAAAAAACACACTGTTAATGTAATTTGTCTGATGTAACAAAACAAAAATCAATCAATCAGGTGTTTAAACTCAGACCTCAGTGTCTCCAGTTTACAGTGTTGACTCTTCAGTCCATCAGAGAGAAGCTTCACTCCTGAATCCTGCAGGTCATTGTTACTCAGAT